CGTGTGTGTCAGAGAGAGAGAGAGAGAGAGAGAGAGAGAGAGAGAGAGAGAGAGAGAGAGAGAGAGAGAGAGAGAGACCCACGTGTAGGACTAATACTCTATCTACGGGACACACCTGTTTTTGTTGAATAAACGTACCGACAAGTCAATATAGATTGTCGAAACCGGGAGATTTGATGAATTCCTATCGTGCTTGGCAAATGTTGTAACTTTGTCACACTGCGTTGCCTTGTTACCATTGCTGCAGTTGTTGTTGTTGTTGTCACTTTGTAGCTAATCGCTTTCCACCGTTCTCTATACTGGGCTAGTCTCTTGATGTTATTCCATGTCTTCCCACTTTTCTGTACATCAATTTCCGTGATTCTTCTCCAGGTTTCACGCGGTCTTCTCCTTTTTGTAGCTAATACATAACAAGTATTACATAATGGCCGTTGGTGTTTATGAAAACTTACACAGCTGATGTTGTTCTTGTTGTTGTTGTCACATTGCCTCAAAACACAAGTCTGTCTGTTTGTTTGATTACAGAGAATCCAACCGATGCAAATAAGCGGCCCTTTAGTTGACGTTGTTGTTGTTGTTGTTGTTGTTGTTGTCACATTGTCTCAAAACACAAGTCTGTCTGTTTGTTTGAGTACAGAGAATCCAACCGACGCAAAAAGCGGCCCTTTGTTGATGCTGTGGCCGCCGCTGTTGCTGATTCTGCTGTAGCTGGTGTTACATAATAGCCGACATGGGTTAGTGGAAATTGAAACATGAACTGTACTGATACACTGATGTTGTTGTTCTTGTAGTTGTAGTAGCTGTTGTTGTAGCTTATGTTGCATAATAATAACTGTCGCACTAGAGGCGCAAAACATGACGCTGTTGTTGAGCTGTGGGTCTACGGCGAGTCAGCACGACAGTTTAAGTTACATTATATAACAAGACAAAAGCCTGTCTGCCTATTTGTTCGAGCACAGAGAAGCACATCGGTCATGGCGAGTCAAAATACGCGTGTTACGTTCACTATTACATCGAAGCAATGGCGGTCTTCAGCTGGTGCATAAAGGCATGACAGACAAGCAGAAATAAACGAGGGAAAGAAAAAGAACTTGGAACTACCAGAGGCGGCCTCCAACCACAAGCTGGACATTAGTAACGCTGAGAGGAAAGAGATTTTTAGACAGCCCACCAACCACCAGCGCCACACTGTGACTCATTTAGTTTTAATTTTAGTAAATACAAGAGTTTTACAGCACTTGCAACCCAAGTACGCAATATATTCAAGTAAGCCGAAGATTAGATGTGTTACTAGAGAGTAACATACAAAGAAAAGAAGGAGGAGAGATAAGGACGATAGATGTTCGAAGGGAAAGAAAGAGCAAACCACACCAGAGCATCCACCAACCGCCGGCGTTCATGTCACATTGTGACTCGTGACTCGACCATCCGACAGAGACAAAATTGTAAAGCAAAGCATACCGACAGCCTTGCATACACTGGCACATGAACCCTTTTTCTTTTCTTTTTTTTCAACTGACAGCAATTTTGTTATGCCTCATCGACATTTTTCAGTCAAACTTCCCAGAAAAAGTAGGTTTTCAAAACTTGCTGCTTCAGCCAAACCGGGGCTGTACTCGACACATGCCACCCTTACAAAGAGAGGAACACTCGATAAAAAACCGCATCCAAGCTTAGCGAGTGAAGAGCCAAGCGGTGAACGACCTAACGTCTTTGCGAGACGGGTGAAGAACCTGGCTGTTACAGTTTGCACCACAGAAGCCAGTACTACAAAGAGAAGTGCCATATATATATATATATATTATGAGCCAACACTAAACAGACAGAAGAGGCAGACCCCATCTGTGCGACAAGGGATCATGGCCTTATCCACAAAGGTTTGACACGCACTCCGACTTTTGGAAGAAAACATTGTTAACTTCAAGTGTCAAATATACATGCATACACACTTGCATTATATCTGCTACATCAAAACCCAATACTGGTGCATCATGTACTACTGTGAACAACAAGAGGGAACTGTGTTCATAGCATACAAGACTTTTCTGCAAGATCCCCCCACCAGAACTTTTTTTAAATTACAGATGACCTCCTTTTCTCCTCACTGCCACCAAATACTGAATTCAGGTAGTTTTAATTATGCTGGAAGAACAGGACTATCCAGTACTATTTTCACTTCTTCACTGTATGCCACCACCCCCCACCCCTTTATTAAACCTTTTAAGACATTGAAAAAGCAGACATTGGACCTTGTCCTGAGGGTGGTCAAAAATCAAGCATATATTACTGAATTAACTGGGTTGGTTCAGTAAAGGCAGTCTTCAGACAAGGACTGATTGTAGAAGGGCAAAAGCTTATCACTCAATTTTTCTTTCTGAGGCTTGTACTTGTAAGCTGTCCTTCGGTTAAGTTAGTTAGCTGTTGATTCTGCTCATATGATCGAAGACCTGATTGACTGTAAATGTTCTCTGCACACCTCTATTGATACAATTCAGAACTCATTATGGAAGCTGGCTGCTTCCAACCAATCTTTCAGGAGAAAAGTTGAGAGAGTTGGACAATACATCTCAACAGCAAGATGAAGATGCTCAATAAATTTTCCGCCCCACGTGGGAATCAAACTCAAGAGCTCAACATGGAAATACCATTGAAGGCGGTTGGAGGATTGTGTAAGTTCTGATCATGTTCATTAGATTATAAAAGACAGACCTTCCCGCTCACATCTAATCCTAAACATTTTCTTCATGGTCACAATATAAAATACGCAGTAATAGGTTTTTTTAACAGTCTCATACTTGGGGGGGGGGGAGAGAATAGCCAGGAAAAGTGGGTTTAACACTTAATTTTACCAAAATTAGAAGCTTTCACCAAAGCCAAATATAAAAACAAGAGCTACAAGCCTTGAAGACACTGACCTTGGTGCTGGTGATCTCGTTGAGCCTGGCCTCGATGCTCTGCTTGTTCTTGGGTCGGATCAGACAGTAGAGAGAGTCCAGCTCCGGACAGCTGCGAAGCAACTTCTCGATAAACACCTTGCCCACAAAGCCCGTCCCACCTGTCAACAACACACTCTTGCCCGCGTAATACAGGGGCACCGTGAGCTCGCCGGCCGAGACAGCCAATTTTGGCGAGGTGGCATGACGATGTTCATAATGTTCGTGTAGGATGGACATTTCCGGGGTGGTACGGGAAGGGGAGCCTACTCCATCCTGAGTTGTTTTGGGTAAAAAATCCTCATACTGTTTTAGGCTTGGCGCCAGGGTAGAGGCAACTTGAGTCAATGGAGACGACAGAGGAGAGGTTACAGGATCCATTGATGTTGGGATTTTGTTACTGCCGTTGGAGTTAGTGAATGTGTTGGAATCCCCTGGCTTACGCAGAGTCTCTTGGTCCTCTCCCGCACCGTTGAGGGTATTATGAAAGCCGTTGACCACGACCTCCTTCTCAGGAACCATTGTTGTTTTCATGATAAGATCCTTGACAATACTGCTGCTCTGGTTCGTCTTTGAGGGCTGTTGAGGAGAGGAAACAGTCATCTCACCACCACCTTGTTCACAATCCTCCGAGGACATTCTACTTCCCTCTCAGCTCATCAACGAAAAAGCCCTTCACTGCGGGACCACTGCAGAAGACAAAGCACAACAGCCAGTATTAATATAAGGTTGTTTTTTGTTGTTGTTGTAAGAGTTTTACATAGGTCATATAAGTGCTAAATATTTAAGGTGTTACATGAGAATAATAAACACAAAATAGAAGGAGGAGGGATAACAACAATAAAAGTTTGAAAGAAGGAGTAAACCATACCAGAGTACCCGCCAACCATCCACTGTAAAATAATGTTTTCTCACGGCAGCAGTTTACCCTCAGGAGCACCATAAAGGTTGCAGTTTGACAGGAACTGACTTGGATTTATACCATTCATTGAAAAGCGGTATTTGTCTTGTTTTAGTAGGGGTATTACGGCACTCGCAACTGCATAAGGTCATATGAGTACGCGAAAAGAGGTTAAAGGAATCTATCTCAACAGAACACGCAAAAAACACTTTCCAGATTAATCAACAAACTGACAAACATCGCAAAAGATAAGATGTGTTAAACACATTTAATTTATTTCAGCATTAGAATCTTTTGTTAAACTGTCATGTTTCAGTGTTCACACAAACATGTGCCTGAGTTGACCTTAACGATCAATCCATTGAAAGTATAATTCTTAGAAATGAAGGCAATAATTAAGGCAATTTTTTTTTTTTTATCACCATTAATAACTTTTGCACTGAATCTGAGGTCTATTTACAACACTTTTTCATTTTTAAAAAAACCTCTGTTCTGCACTAAAAATCTCTTGGCAAAAAGGTGAGAGAATACCAAAGTCCAAGAAACTGAAATGGAAAAGACAATTATTTTCTTGGAAAACATCTGACATGGAAGGGCGAAAAGAAAACCAAGACAAGCTGAGGGCCATGAGCTAAAATTTTTTTTATCAGCAGTAGGCTTGTATTATTACTGTGTCACTTCAGAGGATCAGTCCAGTCATTCAAAAAACATGCAGAAAGTCACAGTTCTAGAAGACACCATAAACACACACATGTATAACCTCCACATCACAAGCACTTTAAAAACCTGTACCTACCAAATGCCACATGACATTCAGCATTGTTTCCTGGCCTACTTTTCTCATGCCCCCTTGGACTGATCAGCTCCTGATTTAAATTAACAACCATGCTCTAATCAATGCACTATGCCTGCTGTTATCTTGTATCACACTCCGAGCTCATGAAAAATGTTTGAATATTACATTATATAAGTATTTCACATAGTATTCTAAAACCTGTACAAGACAAACACGAGTCAAGTAGTTGTACAAACCGTGGGCTGAATGTGCCAACCTAAAATTTTACGCTGCTTATAATGTAAAAATTTAAGTGTATCTTGCTCACTTCGGTAACAATAATCACCCGTAATGTAGGCTGGTGACAAAGCAAAACTGAATGCCCCCCCCCCCCCAAATAAAGGCAGAGAACTAAGATGAAGACTTCACAATTCTGAAATGGGGAAAAAAAAATAGAAAGAAACTTTACACAAAGAACAGCCTGCAGAAAACTCTTTAATCACTGATTATGAACTTCAAACATACTAAACCAGTTGGAACACAATGTGCAGTAGAACACAAGACATTATGAGCCCTGCCCTTAAAAAAACAACGGTTAACCTTTTCCCTAGAAAGTCTCGCCATCCAAGAGAAACAGTTCACAATTACATCTATCACATTCCAGTTAACGTTATAAATCACCTCAATAAACTTTCCTGTGTAAATTCTGAAAAGAAAGGTACATGAACCAGAGATTTTTACTTTACGAACATTTTGTTTATAGTTCCAAAAGTAGAGTTGCATTTACGATGTTGTTGGAATAGGATTGATGTGAGAGTGGAACTGTTAGATTATAGACATAAAAAGATCCTGTGCTTAAAAAGCATTAACTCTGGCAAATGCCCATAGTGTCTGGTTCCCCGCAGTATATATTGCAACTTAGCTGACAGCCATCAATCAGTTATTGGGTACCTTGCTATTAAAAGTGATTTAAGCACCATGTCCAATACTGACATGCTGATTATTATTGCCCATAAAATTAATAGTATTTATGACAAGCACAGGAGTTAAACCTTTCAAATTCATTACCATAAAACAGCAGCATATAATAATACTAAGAGCAAAATGCAAACATTCACTATATTTTTTAAGTTTCTTAAAACAGACTTGAGAAGAGGAATACACAAAAAACTAAAATTAGTTAACAATCTGACAATCCCCTTTTCACCTGATGTGGAAATAATGCATGGTGTGAAGACAATGAACGATTGAAACATTCTCATATCTATTATTTTCTAAAAGCAAGAGAATGTGAACCCAATGAGCTTTGAGACTTCAAAACTACAACAAATCTCATAGAATTTACAACCTCTCGTTTTATACTGTGAAACTAGCAAAAGTATTGATTTTTTGTTGATTTCCAACAAACTGCCCACAGTGATTGCAAGCTTGAATGTTGAGCAAAATACAGAAGAAAACACCCCAAAATGTGAGTGGACATAGAGGTTAAATGGATTTAATCTAGGCATAGAGATAGAGTGTAGGAAAAATTTCAGCAGCAAGACATGTAGGATCACATCTTGTTATCCTCTCACAACGTGGTCCTCCTCACAGTTGCTCTCTCTCTCTCTTTTTTTAAAGAGTGTTTTACAGTGCTCGCAACTTCATAACGTCACATATTAGCGCGTGGGACACATTAAACATTTTCAGTTGGCAGCAAATTTTGAATTATGCCCGGATGGCGGCCGAAGCGTATTCTTATCGATTCTGGACCACCAAGGGATCTTTAACCTGTGCAACGTGCACACGGGACCTCCAAGATTTTTTGCCCTTGTCCAAGAAGGCTAGGAGTAGATCTTTCCTACCATAAGATCAGAGGTGTGGCTGAAAGACAGCGGCAGTAAGAAGGAGCCAAGAAGTAATAGTAGAAAGGCTGCAGAAAGAGTTTTAGAGTTAGAGCCCAGGGGAAGGGGGCAAAGGAAGTGAGGGGGTGGGGGAAGAAAGTGGAGATGAAAGCAGACGACAGAACATTGTAAGAGAGCAGGAGAGAATGTGAAAGGAGAAAATTCTATAGAAGAAAATGTTCTGTCGCTATCCGGATTCGAACCCAGGAACTATTGAATGAGTGGCGAACATTTTATAACCTTCAAGTCTAAGCCACAAGAGCCCCCACAGACGCTCTTTCCGTACTAACAAGACATCCAATCAAACAGAGAAAGCGAGCTAAAAATAACCTAACAACAATTGCAAATCTCTGAAAAAAACATAAAAGAGTTGCTTTGCAGCAGATACCATCTCACTGACACTTGTTTGGGAATTAAATTACTGATTCTTCAGCAAAAGAATGGTCTTGATGATCAGTGCAACCTAAAAACAGGACAAGCCTTTCAGAGGCTAAAACCATCATCAAAAGGGAGCTATAAAAGCTAAGAGGAAGGAACAACACTCACACTAAAACTAAGATGACCCCTAATACCTCAGCTGTCAAGATCAGGTTGATCTGTTCAGACTGTGACTTTAAACAGGACACAACTGACTGAAACAATGCCTCTCTACACAAAATTCAAGATTGGAGATTCAGGGCAGTGTCAGAACAGAACAAACGTTCAAACAGGTAACCGTATGCTGCAAGCCTGGAGGGATTTTTCTTTTTTTTTGCTTTAGGGGTGACTAAAAGCAAAAAAGGTTACGGCCAACGTCGAGCAGTCTCGTTTTCTCGCAGTACCTTTTGAAGGCATTTTCAAATGAAGAATAGATCTAGTCCGGGAACGTTGCCCCAACCACAATTCAAGTATCTGAATATTCAGGCATCTAAAAATCTCTAGCTCTAGAAATTGAATTTGAGGCAAAAACAGCTTCTTCCCAGTCCTCACAAAATGGCAGAGTGAAAGATGACGCCGAACTGTCGTAAAAAATAACCCCAAAAAAATCGAGAACAGAAACCATTCCGAGAAATAGAGGACAAGTTTATTTTCCAGAGCGTTAGGAAAAATAGTCACTTTGTAAAAAAATTACAGGATGAAAAACAAGATAAACTAATTTTGTAAGTATTCAAAATTCAGGGTATTATTTCTTTTTAGAACAGTTCAAAGACTATTGTAAACACACAAAGTAAATATACTACCTTGAAGGAATAGAAACAAAATTGTACTCGTGACATAATCAGACACACTCTTGATAACTAGACTGCTCAGTTTATTGCACAAAGAAAAAGACGATCCTTGCTTATCATTTCTTTGTTTTTGAACTGAACCAGCAATTGATATCAAGCATTATATGGTTTTTAAACAACATCCTGTGTTAATCTTCATTTGTACAGCTGAATATAAAAGCTTTTTTAGATTGCTTTTTCCCTGATAGTACTTAGTACTAGTGATACAGTTAATTTTAATAAAGTTGATGTTATAGTGATGGTGGATAGAAATTATAATTCAAATTGGGACTTTTTTCTTGCAAAGATGCTCAGGCTCCCTTTGAAGAGAGGTAAGGACACAGAAATGGGGCAAGAACAAATTCCTTTGATTCAGTACAGATCAAGAATCTCAATAAACTTTTTCAAGCTCTAGTGCGAATGACTGAAAGGCCTGACAGTGCTAAATATTAAAAGATAGAATGAGTGTAGAGACAAAATATAATGGGCAAAGTTTAATTCTGATACAAAAACTGGGTGAGAAAGTTCTGTTATTGAACCATTTCGCTTTCACAAAGTAGGCAAAAGCCTCTTTCTTGCAAAGCATCTAATACACTCCCATCATTCATCATAGACTACAATACTAAAATTTTAGAGCAACTGGCTACACTAGGTTCCTTAGGCCTACATTTTAATCTGCTCTTCAAGTTGTCCGAAAACAATATATGTCTGAGCGCACTAAATTTAAAGTTTAAATGTGAACTGAGGGAAGGCCTGTAAGAAGTGGGAGGGTGCCTCTCTTCATATCATGGGACTGACACCAAACCCAGAAGTAGGATAGTCGTAGTGTTAGACTGTGCTAACACTAACACTAACTTCCGAATAACAGCAAAACCACCCTGAGAATGGGAATAGCGGAATAGGGCTAGAGTAGAGGCGGGTAACTTCGCCACTCTCAGTTGGCTCTCGTAACAAAACAAGCCTACACCCCCTCTATGCTCAATACTCAACGTATTAATTTGCGACGGAAAAGAAGTTGATGTTCATGTTCAGAGTTGTGTAGTATCAGTTAGTAGAAAATGGACAACTGGTAGCTAAGTGTGAGACAGGAGGGAAAGTAAAAGAATACCATTAAATGAATACCCCTCTAATTGAATGAATTTGAACGTATTACTTAGACTACTTCTACTATAGTATAGTATAGAGACTTACTTACTATAGAGTTCAATCTTGATCTCTAAATCTAGATAGATTATAGCCTAGTAGCATCTTACAATTAATTTTTTATTACAATATTTATAAGGAAATGTGTCTCCCGAGACCAGGATCCTGGTCCACAGAGACACCCAGTCTAGGGGGACCATGAAAATATTTTGCTTTGCGCATGCGTGACCACACGAATCATTTCCTTCTGCTTCCAATTGTTGTCATTTCGTTTTCCCAAATGGCAGGGACGGTCGAATCGGTGTCCGTTGGACAGTACTTTGAGAATTTCGAATCTTTCATATTATTTGTCTGTACTTAGTTCACAACCCCGACGTTCTGTCAAGTCTCGACAACAGTTTGCTTTGCTTTTCATCTACCTTTTCCAAGCTGTCACGTGCTCTTTTTCTTTTCTTGTTATTGTTCGTCACTGAATGCAAGTTGATCTTGCGTCTTGTGCACTATCAAGACTGCGCGTGCTCAGGCGTGTTTTGAACACAGAAGTGTGAGTAAATTTCCAGCATTAAATTTAAGAGCATTATTAAATCGGGCTTATATTTATTTTAACTCGCAAAGCTGAAAAATGTACTTTTACACCTGCACACAGAACACGCCTGAGCACGCACACTAATATTATAATTCTAGATTCTATCTATTCATTTTTCTCTAATAGAAATAATTCCCTTTGTGTCGTGTACACTTATTCATCTCTCTCTCCCTACCCCTCCCTTCTCTCTCTCTCATACATAAGAAAGTGGCTATTCTCACCCGCCCGGAAGTTCTCGCAAGATCTACTCCTCCCCTCTTCTCTCTCTCTCTGTCTCTTTCTGAATACTGTCTATCGGTGTGGACGATCAAATTGACCAAAACAAAGTTAAAAAATGATGTTAAAACACAAAAGTAAATTAATTTGGTTGTCTACAAAGATGCTACAGCTATTTAACTTTTCGAATCGAGCCGAACTACGCGGGTCGCCTTTTTGTTTTGTTCTCTCTCTCACTCTCTCTCTCTTCACTGCCCACAGACAAAATTGTGCGCTTTTAGTAGGCTACAAGTACAGTTGTAATGGAACGTTTGTTCACAGCACAGAATTCTACAATTTTTCTCTTATCACAGTGTAGAATTCTGCCTAGACTCTTCCAATTTATAATCTATATAGACTAGAGAATCTAGCCTACTTCCTAGAGATCTAATCTAGATTAGTAATTAGTAGGCCTACTAGATTCTATCAACGAGAAATCCAGAATCAAGTAGATCTAGACTAAAAGTCTAGATCTAGAATTTAGATTAGTAGACTCTAGTGTTGGTCTCACTCTAGCAGTCTAGATTATCTAGCCGCAGTTGAGAAACTCCGGCGCCGAAACTCCTTCCCCCTATTAAGTATTAGATCTAATTATTGTGAGAAAACCAAACTTTCAATATGATTTGATTAACTTTCCAACTCTAGAGATCTACCCGTGATAATTTATAAGAGAAAAGCGAAGAAATACAAACCAAATGCAATAAGATCGAACTCGGCTAGACTTCGATTATAATCAGTCAGTCAAAACAATCCTGTTCAGTGTTCTGTCTGCACGGCGGAGTCCCGAAAAGAGCAAAAATAGAGATTTATATTCAATACAAAGTCTTGGAAACCGCAAATTCCTGATGAATTTCAAGCAGTATCCGAGCAAGCACAACAAATTTTAAAAAGTAGAATACACTCAATTCGCTGCGAATGCAAAATCCACTCGGTAAACACATAATACTAGCTACGACTGTTTGTCCGGGTCTGATCCTCTCTGCAGACAGTTGTTGCTGGCCAATACGGAAACGTATACGCTTCCATTTTCAATTTTCTATCATAAAAGCGACAATGCCAGTTTTTTGGGGGCCTAGGCTGTCACCTTAAAAATTAACTCAGGCTGACAATCATCAAGCTCTTCTTTGTAGCCTTTGAAAAAATGAAACAAAGCTCTTCCTCTTCTTTTAGCATCGTCTTTATTTCCCGAATTCACACCTTGATGCCTGAGAAATAAAATATTTTGTATAAATAATGGATATGTTTAGGCCTAGTACTCACAGAGGGGCAAACACTACCCTACTAATACATGTACACATTCATTAAAAAAGGATGATGCCGTCACAATTTTTTTCTGCCCTACGCATATTAATTTTTAACAATTTAGTTGACCTGTGTCCCGGTGAAGAACTACTCCAAGACATGTACACGCAGAATATTTAGCTCTATGTAATCTAACTTGGGTCCTGGTAGATTCTATTAAATATTTATTTTATTGGCGAACAGAAAGGTTGACGTTCTAAAATATTTAGCTAAGGCCGATAGAAAGTCCTCTAATAACGCCTCCCGATTAAAAAGCTCCAAAAACACAAAGATACTGTTGTAAGTATTTAGTTTCTTTACAAGGCATCGTTTCTTCGTTGTTGAAGACAGGCCAAGCATGAATCGACGAAGACCAACTCTACAATTATACATTCATTAATGAAATGTACAAAGGGGCAATCCATAAAATGAGGTCAATCTCCTGGGGTTGAGGTAGAGACTTCTAATATGAAATCCTAGATCATACACTGTCATGGCCGCCATACCATATGCGGTGCCATTATATTTTGAAATGTAGGCAGGGCAATTAATGGGCCTTTCGCAAGCACTCTGAATAGTGTGTGAGTGTGGGGGTGGGGGTGGATGCTTCTTTTTCTTTTTTTCAAGTTTTTGCTTCCGGGCTATTGTGATTGAAATGCTTCACCAAGTATGAAAGTGTTTGGTTGCATTGATAGTCTAGTGGTTAGTCTACTGGACTCGTGGTCGTAAAATAGTGGATTCGGAGATTCGAAGCTCAGCTACGTCTGACATTGTGTCGTTGAAAAGAGCACTTTACCCAAATTTTTCTATTTGGCTTTGTCCTATCAGAGATGGATGTTAAATTCGGAAGTGCTGCTTTTGAGTGTTGCAAGATACGTTTTAAGCTTATACAATTTTGAGTTCCCAGAGCTTTTGGTCTGATAAGTCTTTGGCGTCTAAAAATACATGTAATTAGCATCTTTAATAAGCAAAATATTTGTTTACTTTCATAATAAATTGAATACAAGAGAGAAAGCAACATACATACAAGTACAGGAGAATCGCAACAAACCCTCAGAGAAATACGCAATTACACCGCTTCTTCTTCTTCTTCTTCTTCTTCTTCTTCTTCTTCTTCTTCTTCTTCTTCTTCTTCTTCTCCTCCTCCTCCTCCTTCTTCTTCTTCTTCTTCTTCTTCTACTACTACTACTACTACTACTACTACTACTACTACTACTACTACTACTACTACTACTACTACTACTACTACTACTACTACTGTATGTAGTCACCATCATCAGCCTTTCTCTCACGTACCGTAGTATAGTCCGTCAACAAGAGCTGCTGCTCTACTTATACTTATGTCCGGTCCAAGGCTATTATCCACCTCTGCCCAGTTGTATGCCATCTCTTCTTGGTGGGAATATTATAAATCCCTCTTAGAAGTATTATAAGGCCTTCCTTTCTTCCTTTTACCTCGTTGATTCCATCATAAAACTAGGTGAGTAATGCTTGTTTCAGTTTTCTCAAATGTGGGCCTAATCCAATAGGGGTGATTATTATCTAATTATTATTATTCCTTGTCGATCCATACCTTTTGAGCATACAACTAGAAATACGCTATCTTCATCTGATTACTTCCCGTTTAAAATGATTGTCGATATTTCATTAAAACATCTTGCTTTAAAAAATGCCCGGACACTGGAAGAAGAAGAAGAAGGATAAGAAGAAGAAGAAGGATAAGAAGAAGAAGAAGAAGGAGAAGAAGAAGAAGAAGAAGAAGAAGAAGAAGAAGAAGAAGAAGAAGAAGAAGAGCAGCAGTAAAAAAAATGGCAGCTTATAGTAGCAATAGCTGTAGAACTGTATGTGGCAGCAGCAGTCCCACTGAAGCAAGAGTATATTGCATGCGTGCAACAGCAGCAGTATTAGCAACAACATCAATTATTGGAGAATATAAAATGCCATGATCAACTAGTTTGGGACATGTTCGCTTATTCAGTGTCTGCGGGTAGCAAATGGCTCACTGGTAATACTCGCAAATGAACAGACAAATACAGAACTGTCCACTCATGCATATTTGTTCAGTTTGCTGCACCCTTGGTGCAGAGACAGCCATTCCTTAATTTAGTGAGTGGGCGGATGGGCAGGCGAGGAGACATCATTGTATTGCATACAACTACCACTATACTATGTTCTACGTTATGTACTAGCCTATATTATATTTAGAGAGATACGTTCACGTACGTATAACATGGCATGTAATCCACTATGCCCACCCACCCACCAAATCATTCCCTCCCATCTCCAACTCACCCCTACATACTACATTCTCATCAAAGTTGAAGTACACAGCAGCTGAGTGCTGCTCGTGGCGGTTTTTTTCCCCCAAGGCCTTTGGGGACTAACAAAAAAAAATTCGACCTCGCTACAAATTACAATAGGCCTACACACAGTGTGGCCCACACATGCACTCATGCAGTGAAAGGTAACATGCGGTCATAAGCCCTGCATCTTACAATGCTGCATCACAAGCCTCTCACCCTCCCCCCTCTCCCACAGCATAGATTGTGATTTGAAACAATAAGCGATATGCTTTAACCTGTGGTCGAGTATCTTGTCTGCTAGAGTTTGTTCGCCCGCACGCCCGCCCGCTGAGTGAATAAAATTGAGCAATGGCCCCCATAAATGGAATGTCTTAAGGTTTACAGTCTGTCCACAAGGCCGTCTGCTACTGGCTCACTATGACTGTATCCTCGAGTAATGAACCCTTTTGTCCGTTTGCCCTAACACAAGAATCAACATAACTCTCCTGTAGATCTATTTTCGATTCCGGGAAATAAAAAAAAAAAAAACGTATTATTATAATTGTCTCTACTCTGCAACTGATGCAAGCAGAGAGAGAGAGAGAGAGAGAGAGAGAGAGAGAGAGAGAGAGAGAGAGAGAGAGAGAGAGAGAGAGAGAGAGAGAGAGAGAGAGAGAGAGCGGGGACGATAAACCGGAAGTATCTCAAGGTATACAATCTAGGCTGTTGGAGAATAAGTCTATGGATTAAGGTCATAATAAGTTCATGACATGAAAGGCGGAACTACCCGGCATCACGCGATATCTTGTGTCAACTATTGTTTATTTGTTTTTATGAGCACTGTTCTTTGACAGGCATTCTTTAATATAAATTGCTTTTAAGACAGTTATTTAATTAAAATATACCTCTGAAGATAAATACAAGTATTTAATTCATTTACCCACAAACCTAGAGCGAAAATGGCAGCCTCCATGTCGTCTTCCGCATAAACAAGGAACTTCCCCCGAAAGTGACTGAGATACAAACACTTTTATCTCAAATATTTATTTTGTGTACTAGTAGATCTAAATATCTTTTGTGGAAAGTTTGGAGGAGAATGTTTTGATATTTGTATTGAACTAATTTGTAAGCAGAGTTGCTTGATAACAGCCATGAACCAAGGCCAAGAAGTTGAGGTAGGCCTCTCTAGTCTCTAGTCTCTATGAGTATGACTATGACATGATGTTTATGTTCATGCTTGCTTGAGAGGAGGCGGAGGCAGTAGAAACGTTGAAGGAAGAAGTTGTCGAAGTTGAGTAGATTGAGAATAAGATTCAGGTATTTCTTTTGAGTTGATGAGTAATATCGATACTGACTTAAAATACCCCGCTCAATGTTTTTTATCCGAAAGTGAAAGAGAACGAGAGATGCACTGCTACTTTTTACTTTTTCAGTAGGCCTACAAAATTAAAATGAGCAATTGCAGCTAGATCTAGATCTATATTATTTCACTTGTTTTTAACAAGGGGGCTTTTAGGTGTGCCCTGATCTAATTAAATTATGGGAGGTTAATCCATTTTGATGTTAAATTACACAATACTAATACAGATAGGTTTGAATATCTCTTGCTAGTCACTGAGCGTCAAACATCATTTAATAGTATTATATCGGCATTGGTACGTGCGTCGAAAAGTTATCGTTTAGAAGTAATCGTCCAAGAAGCCAAAACCCACGCTCCATAGTTATCGTTTGGGCCAAACCGAGATTATCTCAATATAAGGTCCTTGAAGAAGTTAGCCTATATAGAATCTATTTGATGAGGTTAACTTTAATTTTTTTTTTTCTTCTAAGCAGAATCCTGTGCACTCCTGTACAATTGCGGTCCTGTTAGATTTAGCACTAAATCACACAAACAAAGACTGCTGGATATCGATACTGATTTTAATATTCGGTATCGATGGTTTATAAGTAGATCTAGCCTACAAAATGGATAGTAAAATTTCACTTGTATTTAACAAGGCAAGGGGGGGTTTCAGGGAGGCTTGCCCCCGTGACCACCTAACAAAAACATGGGTGGTTGCCCCCCTGAATTTTATCATAATTTGATGTTTTGCAATTAGGTTTGATTGGCTATCTCTCCATAGGCCTATTGGCATGTGCATCAAAAAGTATTCGTTTAGAACCAGAAGAAATCGTTGGTGGGTCAAAACGAGTCCCTAAACGGGACCGCAATTGTACAGGAGTGCCGAATCCTGTACATACTCTCAAGACTCAAGAGAGCTCATACTAGATCTTGTCATACATTCTCAATACTCTATATATTTGAGGTATTTTGGTGAGATCAGGCGCTCTTCAAAATAATGAAATTGGAGAAATCTGATCTCTGCATTTTTTGGCCAGTTTGAAATCTTTATTCGAATTTTGTTTTTTGCCTCAACACTTTGCATGTCCATTTAAAAATGCTTTTACGTGTGGAATTTATGGAAAACGTTGATTAAAGTCACAAAAAATGTAAATTTGCTATTTGCTAGGACTGTAATGCATGGAAGTCACATTTATACTTTGATGGCCATTTTCTCGCTAATTTTACTTTTGGAACCAGGTGACCCCTCCACCTCCTTCAATCGCAATTATATCTCTAAACTTCTATTCAAGATAAGTATATTTTTAAAAAATCGAAAGCAAGGCAGATGAATAACCTTTAAGATGGATACCAATAACTTCATAACGCCCAAAATTTGACAAGCGCCTGATTCCACTGCGTCGTGACACATCAATAATTATAACTTAAATTATAGGCCTCTACTACTCATTTGGCATCTTATTATAATTCATTTTTTGATTGGGGGCTCTCGTGGCCTAGAGGTTAAGGTGTTGGCCTCTCATTCAAAAGGTCCCGGGTTTGAATCCGGGTAGCGACCGAAACATTTTCTCTCTAAAATTGTCTCCTTTCACCTTCTTTCCTGCTCTCTAGCAATGTTCTGTTGTCTGCTTTCATTTCCACTTTCTGCCCCCACCCCCTCACCTCCTTTGCCCCCTCCTCTGGGCTCCTGACTCGTTCTGCAGCCTTTCTACTGCTACTCCTTGGCTCCTCCTTACTGCTGTCTTTCTGCCACACCCCTGGTCTTCTGGTAGGAAAGATCTACACCTAGCCTTCTCGGACAAGGGCGAAAAATCTCAGAGGGCCCGTGTGCAAGTTGCGCACGTTAAAGATCCCTTGGTGTTCTAAAATCGTTAAGAGTAGGCTTCGGTCGCCACCCAGGCAAAATTCAAAATTTCCTACCAACTGAAAATATTAGGTGTGTCCCGCGCGCTCATATGACTTTATGCAGTTGCGAGCGCCGTAAAACACTTTACAAAAACAAACAAACAAAATTTTTTAATTATCATCAGCAGGCTTATCCTATATTATGGATTATTTAGTGCTCAGGTGTCTTAATGTATCAGAAATGGTCTTGACTTAAAACATTTTTGTCACACTTTTTTTACTTTATCTTTATCATATCTGTATCATATCATTATCAGCAGTTAACGACTTTATGAGGTAAATTTTTGCTTTCAATCTCGCAGGCAGATACACTGACTGCTTTTGGGAATCTAGCTGTATTTTTTTTTGCTGCAGATCACTTTCATGGCCATGGCTATTAAAACTGTTGAAAATCAATTTTTCAAGAAAATTTCAAACCTTCTCAATATTTGTTAGAAATCAAGTTATCAAGAGTAAAATCAGGGAGAGGCATGCGCCCCCTTGACCTTGTTACCCCCCAGATTTTTTCAGGGGTGCATACCACCCTGAAAACCCGCAGATTTGTCCAAGACGTGGAAATTACTTAAATGGTTTAGTGTAATATAGTTAAGAATAAAAACCATGAAATTGAAATATTTATATTTATATTATAAAAAACTGACAATTTTTTATGGATGTTTTTAATAATATATATAAAGTAAATGCTGGTGTAAAATAGTTAAAAATGAAAAGAAAAGAGAAAGTGCTATACAATAGCTTAGCATGTGATGGAAGTGAAAGTAAAATAGTACCGTTAATGACACTAGTCTTGAGTTAATGTCCCTTTTTTAGTCAGACCTGGAATATTGACCTCTATGTCTTGATTTTTATTTAATATCTATCTGAGCTGAACTATTGCTGAAAGAGCCAATTTTTTTTTTACCAAAGAAACCTGGGTGTTCTGAGCGCCAGTCTCAATCAGTTATAATGTATTTTATATATATATCATATATATGTCAGTCATTTTATTGGAAAATTCATTTTGATCTGCCCTATTACAACTGCAGTACAAATTTAGTAACCTTAACTTCATGTTGTATGGCATGGAGGCCTCATAACTGTTTACAATCTAGAGTCATAATAAGGCTGGTTATTTGTTTAGACCTCTTGAATCATATAGAGGGGGCCTACTTCTCGACTATGAAAAAGTAAACGCCCATTTACTGGCTCAGGGCCTCAAATCTTCATCTTCCTTTTTTTTCTTTTTTCCTCTGCCTGCCTCTGTCAAAAAGTACTGGCTTGTAATAAGATAGCATAATTGGAATGAAAGCAAGCCAGGGGCTTTGTTGAAATGAACGCAAACCAGTCTGTGATTATTTGTTCCTAGTTCTCTGTTTAATTACTTGGGAAAAATATTAAATTATAACAATGTGTGACACATTTAAAATGTATCCTTCATTAAAAATACAGTGCTTGACAACACTGTTGAAATCTAACCATGAACAGAGTAGATAATAATAATAAATGCATTTCTTAAATATAGAGCAAATCCGTGCTGTGCAGCATGCTCCACGATCTTGTGGAATTTCTCCAATTTATATCTAAAGACTGGACATGCTCTGACCTTTGATATCAATTTTTTTTAAATGGGTTAAAGTGGAGATAAAGAGTTCTGCAACTCTGTATGGGTTACCGGACTTCAGTGGTCGGTATGTTTCTGGAAGACTCTCACATTGGTTTGCTATCTAATTAGGATACTGGCAAATATAATGTTTTATTAATTAGACTACATATATATATATAGATCAGATTTGTAGGCATTCTTAAGATCATGGCTCCAAACACATCAATTAGTTGTTTCAAAATGAAAAATCTGAAACCAAAACAGAATAACAAGGATGACCCATTCCTTTAAGTTAACTTAGTACTTACCTGCATTCCTAGTTTAACCTTAGTTACATGACGGGATTTGGAGATCTATTCATTGATAAAATATAGCTCATCAGTACAGGGCATTTAGGTGTTAACAAGCTATCATTGCTAGCATTAGCCTTTTAGAAACACATGGCTTCTCATTATGTGTTTCTGGCGCTTTTTATTGGTAAGCATGATGAGTGACAATGAGCCAACTCGACCATTTCAGATCAGGCAGAAACAGTAGAAATTCTAGAAGGGGCTGATGGTTTTGATGACAGAATAAGTTAAGAGACTATTTCTTTCTGCGGCATTGGTTCCATCCAAATACTGACAAGTGATCATGTTCATACAGACAATGATTTTTGTTCGTTTGTTTTGCGTTGTGCAGCATGTCAATGTCATGTTGCCTCCCAGTCTTTATTGCTAGTAAATGTTTCTTGTCATGTTTTATCTTATAAGCACTTATTCTCTTCTTTTTTCCCTAGAATGAAGAAGATGATGACTTTGGAGACTTTGGTGGCTTTGAGGTACATGGTAACATTTTTCTTTTGACTCTGAATAGTCTGTGTATCATTAGGTGTGCTGACAAAATGAGTTGCTTCTCGCAATCAACGAATGGAAATATCGGCCGGAAATTGTCACAGGCTGAAATTTGTTAATTTTCAACTGATGCCATTTTCTTCTAGTGTAACGTGTCTGTTATCATTTTATTTTAAGGAGTCTTACAAACTCTACTTATAAAATCGATGTATCTGTGTCCACAAGGCTCAAATCCGAGAAGTAACTCATTTTCATTTTTTTGTCAGCACACCTCACAGCAGTTGTTGGCAAATGTTATTTTTAGTTGTTAGCAACAACAAAAAAAAGTGTTCTCAAAAAGACAACAATATGCAATACTCAATAGTGTCTTTCAGAATTGTCATATTCTGGCCATTCCTTATTTAGTTAATTAAATAGAGTTAACTGCTTCAGTGTACCGTCGAACCTGCTCTAACGGTCACCTGCCCAAGACAATCACCTGTACAAACAACCTATTTGCACTTATTTCTCCTCTTGTGTTTTATGATATATTATATTGTCACTGTCCAAGACATTCACCTGTCTAAGACAGCCACTTTTCTCTTCGACATTGGGTGGCTGTCTTGGACACTTTCTATTGTATATATTAATTGAGACATTCCATCCTCAGGGGGCGGAGCCTGTGCCAGATCTACCAGTGCCTCAGGCCCAGGCGGCCGCGTCTCCCTGGGCTGTGCTCACCACAGGTGCAATGATAGGGAACTTTTTGATTTACTGAAATTATACTGTCACTGTTTTACTTGTACTTAAAATAAAAAAAAGATACTAAAGTTTGAAAAATCATTGCAGTTCTCAATAGTTTTAGTGATAAGTTATATACCTAAGGTGTGGTATTGAGTATGCCTGGGATATTTATGTGGATATAATTTTTTAATCTTGGTAAATGAGAAAGATTATGAATTGCATTTAAATTGGATGATCTTTGTTTAACAGTTGTCAGGACGCAGCAAAGATATGAATATATCAAATAATAAAGGCATGAAAGGTGCTTTTTTTAAAATACATTGTTTCCTTAAGTTGGGGCTGGTTGTAAAAAAAAGATGTCCCATAGATTTTTTTAAAAAAGAGGCATGATCTACCAAGTAAGAACATAGAATTTCATGTCCCTACTTGTTACTCTTTTCTCATTGTTATCTCCCTTGTGTTAGGCTCAGCTTCGGGCCGACCAGACTTACTGTGTGCACAGAACAGATTCCCCACTTACCTGGACCCTTCAGATATTTCCAACGCATCAGGGGGCTCGGCCGATGTGAATCTGAACAACCGTGCTGAGGCGGCCCCTCCACAAGCGCCGGTTGACTTGTTCAATGCTGACTTCCCGCAGGTAGGAGGCTAATTTTTAAACAGATGGGCTGATTTTTCAGATGAATCCGGATTTCTGAAATTGTGTGGATTTTGTTAAAAAAAACCTCCCTCTTATACTTTTATTTAAATATTTCTATCTCTTTTTGTTTGGCATATTGCACTTTATATAAAATTAAAAAAAATTTTTTTACTAGATGCATTAGACAATAACATGATTCCAGTGCGCACATTTCAATGGGTGTCGAAAGTTCAAGATATTTTTTTTGTAGCTGGTAGACACCACTGCTTAAATAGTCTCACTATTTTTGTGTGAACTCTCATCAGACGCACCTTTGGTAGACAGGGATTTAAGAATACCACTGGTGGGTAAGCCTTGCCCTTTACAAAAGGTTTCATCAATTGAGAAACCCTCTTGGAGCCATTCTCTCAGTGATATGCTTAGTGTATGTGTGTGTGTGTGTGTGTGTGTGTGTGTATTGAAATGCCAAACCAATGAATCATTGTCTGGACAATAAAGTTCAAAGTTATCTATCTTATTTTACTTCTCAGTATTTTTCACACAGGGTTGATAATGAACAGCTTGAGGCACATTATCTAATTGTCTCTCGGAATGACCAAAATGACCATTATTTTGTCCACATGGAGAACTCAACTCAATTCTGGTTTCTGAATATTTATCTTCAGTTATACTGAATTTTTCTGTCACTATCCTGTCACCAAGTTACAAATTATTTTGATCATAAAGTTATACCAGAGTGACAATTTGTCACAACTAAAACTGCTTTGTTAACTCATCAAGAAAGTCCGAACTTTGTGTATTTCAAAGTATAACTGGTAGTCATGTATCTTTTGGAATACATTCAAATAGGTTTCTGAAATTTTGTTGGAAGTATAAAGCCTCTGTTTTGTGCTCCATCCAACAGAATGCTAACCATGTAAACCAAGCCCGCATCGCAGAAAATGTTTTAGATGGAACGCTAAATGTGACAGCTGGTGCCAACTTGGTTCCTGCGCCTGGTCAGGTGAACGGACGACTTCCTGACATTGGCTTGGGCATCAACGAGAATCGCCTGTTTGGCCAGGCACCTCCTGCAGCGAGTCCTGGCCACCCCGATGCTCTGCCGATCAACGACCAGCCTCCGCTCAATCTGCCCGGAGAGGAAGTGCCGGCAGCAGCGAGGGTGCCAGTGGTGGCTCCCCCTCCAGCACAAGACGGGGCAGAAGAGGAAAACGTCGCGAATCGCCCGAGAGAGCCAGAAGTAGAGGCAGCCCCTGCGGAAGAGGCCGGTGATGGTCAGAATGCTCAACAAAACGCTGCGGAGAAGAGTGCCTTGCAGGAGGTGAATAAGTTTTATGTGCTTTTTTTTTTTCGTTTTAACACTTTGTAGTCACCTGGCGCAATAATGCGCCGCTGAAAATTATCTGTTCCGGTCACTTGACCGCCAGGCTCGAGAAGTCTGTTGCAGTCACACTCCTGGCTGGGTGACCAGATGAAGTAGGCTATTTTGTAGTGCTGGCTGTGCGACTGCAAAGTGTTAAGCATGCAGTCTTTCCATCTGGACTTTTAAGAGAGTAGATAAAATATGTGAGGCATCGTGGTGAAATCAGGCGCTCGTCAAAATAGTGAAATCAAAGAAATTGGCCTTTTTCTGACCGCTGGGTAATTTTTTCTAATTTTCTTTTTCTGGCTCAGCTCCTTTTATATCCATTTAAAAACACATTTGTGGGTGAAATTTACTGAAAAGCATCGATTAAAGGCACAAATAATGTCAATTTTCAGTTTCCAAGGACTCTCAAGTTATGGAAATTGCCAAATTTTGGCGGCCATTTTCTCACTAATTTCACCTCTGAAACCCAGCGACCCTGACCTTCTTCAATCGCAAATATTTCAACTTTTATTCAACATAGATGGATATTTTTTTCACCCAAAGCAAAGCAAATGAACAGGCTTTAAGATGATACCAATAACCCCATATGTCCAAAAATTGACAAGTGCCTGATTCCACCACATCACGACACATACATATAATATATCTATCTTTATGTTGTGGAGGATGTCTGTGATGGTCAGAGTGCTCAACAAAATGCTGTGTAGAAGAGAGCTTTGCAGGAGGCGAATAAGTTTTATGTGTTTTTTTGGTTCTTTTTTAGCATGCACCCTTTCTATCTGGATTTTTTTTTAGAGAGTAGATATATAGCTACCCAATCTCTTTGTCACTACCTGTCTTTTCTGCCTCACTCTCTACTTTTTGCTCTCTCTTTCTCTACCTTTTGTTTCTTTTTCCTTTCAACTTTTCCTTCGAAGCTCACTGTTTTTACCCCGCCCCCACTCTCTATCTCTCTCTGAGCTCTCTCTCTCTCTGAGCTCTCTCTCTGAGCTCTCTCTCTGAGCTCTCTCTCTGAGCTCTCTCTCTCTCTCTCTCTCTCTCTCTCTCTCTCTCTCTCTCTCTCTCTCTCTCTCTCTCTCTCTCTCTCCCCCCTCCCCCCCCCCCTCCCCCCCCCCCACCCTTCCGGAACATGTTTTGCTCAGTTTCTCTTGTTCTCCCGTTAATTCTTCCATTCTCTTCCTCCCTGTGTCTTTGAGACGTACAAACATCCTGTATCTTTCCTTCCGTTCTTTCATTTGTCAGCAAATAAATTCTTTACTGGAGCGGAATCAAGCGCTAGAAGAGGAACTAAGACGCTCTCAGGAGGAACTGGCCTCACGTCAGTCTCGGCTGCAAGAAATGCAGGTAAAATCTGGCACTTTTTAATTTAATATGCGTAAGGACTTTCAGTAAAAAGCAAAATGCTTTGAAACTGTGGAAGGTTGTCATACGGTTATGACTTAAAAGGGTTTTAAGAATTGTGTGAAGGGTTTCCTAAGCTAGTGTGCATTTGGTGTTTTTGAGTTCTTTTTCATTTCTCGATACATTTACAGTAAAGTTAATGTCTGCATTATTTCATCAGTTCTTTATGCAGTAAGATTCTCTCTCTCTCTCTCTCTCTCTCTCTCTCTCTCTCTCTCTCTCTCTCTCTCTCTCTCTCTCTCTCTCTCTCTCTCTCTCTCTCTCCCCCTCTCCCTCTCCCTCTCCCTTCCTCCCTCTCTCTCTCTCTCTATTTTCACCCAGGATCTTGCCTATGAAGGTGTTTGCTGTTAGCTGTAATGAATTTTTAAAATGTCATTCCGACCATCTTATACTCTCTTATCCTCAGGCTCGTCACGAGGGGGCACTAGCAGACATGCGTAGTGCTGGGAGTGAGGCTGTGGCAGTGGTGGTGGAGCAGTACAAGGTGAAACTGTTTGTGCAGCGAACATTGTTGTCTTTTGTGGGTTATTTGTGGAGGCAGTAACTTCCTGCACTTTAGTTCTTCTTTTTTCTTTGGGCATGGATATTTGGAGGGAGTTGGCCCTACTTCTGTTCTGCAGGAAAGAACAGAAGAACGTTCAACCAGATGTGCACTGGCACAATCAGTGGAAAGACCCTTGGTGACACTTTGGAGAGATCAACGGAGCATCAATGGATATGTCCGGAATGCAGGGATGTTGCTTCCTGAAACATTGAACTTCTTTTCTGTTTCTGTGTTACTTCTGTGTGAATGACTGTTCTCATGTAGATGTCCTATGCTTTGCATACACAAGAAAATAAAACAAAGAAATTTCATATCTGCTGAAGATGGATGATGGTTGGTTTGTTAAATTGGGTCTGTTCTTGCTACTTCTTGTTGGAGGCACTGAACCCCGCATTTGCTACAGTGGAACTCGGGATTCAACGAGGTCGCCGGGCCTGACCTAAAATCTCGTTGTAAACGAGTGTTCGTTATAGCAAACATGAGGTTTTGTGTAGATAATTACAGGCACTGAGCAAGTAATATATAAAGAGAAGTCACGAATAGTGTCTGAAATGCCCGCATAATATGAGCTGTGTAAAAGAAAAAGACCGATTCGTTCAAATGCATTCCTATGTCATCTCAATCGTTTACCACAAAGTTGTGTTGCTGTGTAGATCCTAACATAACGGCAACTTTTGATTTCATAGACAAGCGCACAATTCATTACGAAGATCTACGTCAGGACTAGTTTATCATTGTAATAATGATCAGTTGCCGAGGGGAAAAAAAGACTGTGACGCGTTTGTATCTGCGACGTTCAACGCCCGGATCGCTAGTGTGCCCCCCTCCCTCCCCGACACACACACACACAGTCACATGTGTGCAGGCCGCCCATCCAACTCCGACACACGCCAGAGTAGATGCGTGCGCCAGCCAACAACGCATGTGTTGGTATGAAAAAAAGGGCCGCTGATTGGTCGCATGCAATCGGGTAAGTGAATAGATCTAATGGTTCACGATGCAGTTGCAATGGATGGTTTCCGGGAATTGATAAAGTTCGTTCTGGGAGAAAAATGAGCGAAGCCAGGTCTGCGGGGGCTGTTCACCCTGGAAGCGACCTCGTTGAATCCGAGCTCAATGATTTAAGTGCTCGTTGAATCCGGGTTATTTTGATTGATTTTAAAGAAGAAAAAAAACGGGGAATCTATCTCATCTCGTTGAATCCGAGTTCTCGTTGAATCCGAGCTCGTTAAATCCGAGTTCCACTGTATTAGAGTGGGGGAAACGGAACAGACACACACACACATGCCCGCATGCGCACTCGTACACACACACACATATGCATGCACACACACTCACACACACACGCACGCACATGCGTGCATGTGTCTTGACCTCCACTGAACTCTTGAGACTAACTTGCCAAACTCCTGGGGCTTGATTGAACCTAGTCCTTGTTTTCAAGAATCACTGTTCTCAACAAATAGTGGCTGATTTCTTTTTGAGTACTCAGAGTACCTAGATCTATATATTATTACTCAATAGCATTTTCTTTGTATCGGCCTCTATTTTTTTTTTCTGCCTTTTGTTCTCACGTTTTGGATGCACTATTAGTTCAGTTAGACTATTAATTATAAGGTACCCGGATTCGAATAATTAACATTCCCGGGTCAGAACATTTTTTGAGGAGTTCTCAATACTCTCTACCCAACTGGCTCAGTCCTATCAGAGATTGACATAAATTAAGCGGAACGTCCTTCCACTTATTTAAGAGTGTTGAAAAGGACATTATTCCTTACATTATTATTCTTGATTTTTTATGGGTGTTTTTTAAAATAAAAATTAAACATTTAAAAAAATGTTGATCAAGTGGTTGGAGAGTGCCATTGGTAGGTCCCTTTTCTTTCTTTCCCATTGTTGTTCCCACATGTAGGTCTTACTTTTCCCAAATGCTTAGTGACCATTATTGCTGCAATGTCGTTCTCTTTTCTGAAACGAACAAACAATACTTTTCTGTTTGTCTATCACTGCTGGTGAACAGGAGCAGTCGCAGGTGCTGATCGCTGAGCAACAGGAAGTGGCACAGCGCCACCTGGTGGAGACGCTGACAGAGCAGACGAAGAGCTTCCAAGACATGCTGGCTGCCCAGGTAAGGATTAAAGGTAGAGCTGTGAGGAAGATAGGAAGACGACTGTGTTGGTAGTGGGATAGAAAGGAGGGATGGTGCCAGCTCTGGTGGTTGAGATATGTGTTCCGCATTATAAATTCAGGCCTTTTAGAGTGCAGTCAAAATTGTCCAAGACGACCACCCATTGTTTAGGAGAAATTTGTCGTCTTAGACAGGTGGACGTCTTTCACAGTACCATTACATCATTGAAAAAACTCCAGGTGAGAAGTGAACATTTGTACAGGTGATTGTCTTGGACTGGGGGCCGTTAAAGCAGCTTCGGTTGTAGTTTTAAATAGAATGCTACAGAATAAATATGGTATTTGTCTCTTCTGGGCAAGTTTGCTTCAGTTTCCAGAATGGTTTGCAATTTGCAAACGGATGAAGTTAAGCACAATGAAATCTAAGCTTATGAAAAAACCTTATGAAATGTAAATTCTTTTTTAAAAAAACAACCCATTGCATAAAGGTGCTTACTTGCCGTGAAATAAAAATGGATCTTTTAATAGCTCTCAAGTTCTATAAGATGCAAAAAATAGTACATGATTTGATGACTTTGCCTATAATAAGCTCCAGGTGAACTCAGTTTCTTTGTCCATGAGGCCATCACAAGATATGAATTAAAAGTATATATGTCTTCCTCACAATATTATTGTTAATGGTAACTTTGTCTGTAACAGACCTCAGCTGGGGTTATGTGAAATACGAATTTTTCTTGATTTCCAGCAAGCTGAACGTGAGGAAGAACGAGAGAAGGAAAGGGCAGAAGTGGAAAGACAGATTACGCAGGCTTTGGAGGCAGCAAGACAGAAACAGGAGGTGAGCTCAAATAGTAACTCCTCTTGTCTTCAGTGCCTGATTTCTTTTTTTTCCTTTTTTGGCTTTATTGTGTCCTTTTCTGATTTTGATGAATGGCAAGTTATATTTTTTTTAAAAAAGGATGAGATCTCTACTATTCAAGAATTCAACAATAGCTCCTACTGATACTGACAGAGTAAATGCTTTGATTTTTGAGAGAGGTGATTTGAGTTTCTTTTTTCCTTTTGTGGAATGTTACCATAGTCCCAAGGGCATAAGTGCGTACGATCATGAGCTTGCCAAAGTCATATATACATTATCACAAAAAATAACACCCGTGTATTCTCATGAGCACTTCAGCACAAGAGTGTTTTTAAATATAATCCCCCCCCTTCCCCCGTAAATGACCCAAAGAGAAAATTTTGTTCTTGAAATGGTGAGAATATCTTGTCTTTTTTGTTTCAGGAGCAGTTTGAAGCCTTCCTCCAGGCGGAGAGAGAGAAGCAACGCAAGGCTGTGGAGGAAGCGGTGGAGGTACCAATATGAAATCATTTTTTAACTTTATAGTAGTCTGTGATTCATCTTTCTGCTCTCCGCAGTGTGACAGTCTTGGACCTTAGGCTGGGATTTCCACCTGTCTCATGCTTTCTACTTGGGAGAGATATTCTTGGACCTTTGGGGTCTGAATTGGTCTTTTTAAAACTAAATTTCAGATAGGTTAACTCAAAGTTGTAGGACAGGGTCATTTGACTTGAATGCAATAATTCAAGAAATTTGCCATATCCTCAGTTTTACTGTTGCTTACTGTCAAAAGGTATAGGCTACTCATTGTAAAAGTTTTATGCCACCATGTGCACATTAAGTTGTTCAGTAACAAAGTGCTTTGGTCCTGCCTGTCAGGTCCTTAGCGAAGTGCATAGGACACTATCTAGCAGAAAGACTGAGATTTTGGATAAAATATGTTCCCTGTATTAGTTAAAACTCATGTTACTGGTGTGCAAGACTAAAACTAGGAGCTTAAAATGCACCCTGCCACATGAATTCCAAATCCATATCACTGCAAAGTGTTCTGGTAGTTTGAAGATACCTTGCAAAGTCCTTTCGCCTTTATGATCCCTCTTGTTAAAATAGCATCTTTTTGCCAAGGCATCTTTTTAGTTTTCTTACCGTCTTGATCAGTTAAATGTTAGTAAAACTGTACAGAGTTAGTGGGGAGAGAGAGAGAGATACTTTACTTTACTTTTCCTATCCTGTGGCCATCTGTGTTCTAGCCCTTTGGCCTGTCGATATGACAAAGAATACAGAGAGAGAGATTGAGGGAAGGATAATTCTTTATATTATTGTAAAGCACTTTGAGCTCTTTCCTAGTGGAAATGCACTATATAAATGCAATTTATTGCTATCGGTATTATCTATTTTTCAGGGATGCTGTTTTTTTTGTTATTTCCATTGTTGTTTTTCCCCGCTATTTTGGGATTCGTCCGTTCTTAAATCCATTTTCCGTTCATTGGATCCATTCTCAATTAATCACGCAAAAATGGTTGTGCGGAAAACCGATTTTCTGTTTTGTTCCATATATGGACAGAGTGACACGAGGATCTATATTTTTAATCAACAGAAATACACTCGCTGAATCAAAATTAGTATATTCAACCTGATGTTTAGGTGCGATTTCAAATGTAGGCCAGGCCTAGTCTTACATACCCAGTCTCAAAAAAAAATTTCATTTATTTTTTACAAAAATCGAGTGGCATCCCTGATTATTCTGCCTTCCATGTTTTCCCCCAGTGTTAAATGTAAGCTATCACTATCATGCTTCTATGTGTTTTTGTTAGTCTTGGACAAACTACATAATATGTCTGTAATGTAGATATGTTTCCTTTGTGAATTCATTTTTGTTATCCTTTTGTTCTGTCATCAGGCAGAGAGAGTGGCGAGTGAAGGAAGGTTGCAGGAAGCCATCGCTGCCCAACAGGAGCAGGCTCGCACACAGCTGGAGGCTCTCAGGGTAAGCTGATGCTTTATTGCAAAAAACTCCTCAAAAACAAACAAAAACAAAACAAACT